AATACCAGATACATCGACAAGTTGAACGCATATTGCGGCGGCGGCAGCCATATGAGCTTGTCGCCGCCACTCCTCTACGAGGGTCGGAAATATACATCCATCGGTTGCTGCGAGTTCGGTACCTGCTGACTGTCTCCCCGACACGAGGGTAACCCGAACCGAGCTTCCGCCTTGGGGTTTAATCGCCCGCGCCTTGCGCGAGGCGTGCCCTTAAAAACAAGCAAGCCTATCACTAGCAAGTCCATGGACTTGGCGCACCCACATTCAACCACAGCAAAGCGACAGTTGTCGCCCTCGCAAATAACTGGAGGCGGCGCTCTTTTGCCTGCTGTCCACAGAGACACGAATGGCCGTCGGCCGCTCATGGCTGATGCTGCACATGTTCTAAGAGGCACTCCATCCCACGAAGAGGAAACGAAACCGGGTCGGATATCTTTTAAGTAAGCCCCGCCGGAATTTCGTCTATCACCTCGAAAAGAGTGCTTAGCATGCATTGCAGTGGAACCTAAATTGATGAGTGCGCCTGGGCCCGCAGTCTACCATGTAGTGGTGCAGGCAGAGAGATGAGAATGCTTGGGTGACGCCGTGCTCTTCCTCACGCGCTCCTCCACCCTCTCCCACGGTCAGACGCGGTGTGGGCGTTCTCTTTGAGAGTTCGCCACGAGTCCACGTCTATCTCATGACTGGGAGGGAGGCAGGGGGAGTTCTCTCTAAACGCGTTAAAGACGGTGTTGCGCCTCATAGCGGCGCTCGCCGGGATAGAGCACTAGTTCTGCAGCCGGAAAGGCCGCTCACGCCAATTAATACTGCGACTCTCGCTCTCTTTCTCCGGATAAACAAGTGCCACTGCTGTGGCATGCGGGAACGGGGAAAGAGGTCAAAGTTTAAGCGGCAAAGGTGCGGCCGAGTAAGGGCGGAACACGAGCGTATATGCATTAAAACTGTGTGTGTATATGACTCTGCGAGAGATGTTCTGCTGGAACTCTTTTCCTATTGGCTATTTACCACTCAATGAGAAGGAACGGAGTCAGGGGTGGGAGTGCCGGCGCCATGGCCGCTGGTACCCCCGCGACAAGCCCCTCAAACCTTCCTGCCTGGTAATGTCGGTGGTGAAGAAAGTCGGTGGCAGAGCGTCTTCCGCTTCGTGGTTGAGGAACTTGTTCCCCCTAAGGATGATGAGACCACGATCGACCTCGTAGTAGGAGAGAGCTACCCGCCAAATTTAAGCATATTAATAAGCGGAGGAAAAGAAACCAACAGGGATTCCCTTAGTAAGGGCGACTGAACCGGGAAAAGCCCAGCGCATAACCTCGATGTCTTCGGGCACGAGGGGTGTTGCGTTTCAGAGGGTCCAGCACGCCGTCCCATACCGTCTAAGTCAAGCTTGAAAGCGGCCACTGCCCATGGAGGGTGACAGGCCCGTATGGCGGCGCCCGTGAGGGTACAGATGGGACGGTCGGAAAGGGCCTCTCTGTAGAGTCGGGTTGCTTGAAAGTGCAGCCCAAAGCAGGTGGTAAACTCCATCTAAGGCTAAATATGACCACGAGACCGATAGCGAACAAGTACCGTGAGGGAAAGTTGAAAGAACTTTGAAGAGAGAGTTCAAGAGTACGTGAAACCGTTAAGAGCCAAACGGGTGGAAACTCGAAGGTCGAACTGAGGGGATTCAGCTCGTCGGCTGTCGGCTGGGTGGGGTGTTGTAATTGAGCGACCCAAAAATGTTTGGGCGCGCCCCCACTCACGCTGGCGTCGGCAGGCGTATTTCGCCTCGTAGTAGGTCACCGCGACCCGTTGCCGGGGACGTCGAAGGCCCGGTCGGACTGGTACCTCGCCGCCGACTCTCTCAGCTCGTCTGGAGACCCGCGCGACAGAGACTCACCAGGTGTCGCAACACGGCGGTCGTCGAGAAGAGCTTGCCGCCGCTTCGGCGGCAATTTTTACTCGCGGTGTGCAAAAGGTCGGTGATCCACCGACCCGTCTTGGCTACGGACCAAGGAGTCTAACATGTGTGCCAAATCAATGGGCTCACTTTCGGCAAGAGCGAAAATAGTGGCGGCAGGGCGCGCTGGGCTCTCGGTGCGTCTTGGAATGATCGTGACCAGCTGCGCAGCCTCGCCACGCCGCGACAAGCGGGGTGAGATCTTTCCCGTCTCTGCAGACGATTGCGTGTGGTGGGTCGTGGGGCGATCAAGTTGGAGGGGAGCCAGGACTTGCCAAAGACGCGCGGTGCTGTCCCGTCCCGGAAGCGGGCCGTCGGTAAGCGGCGGAGGCGCACCGGGGCAGGCTCGCGGGCAGGCGGCAAGTACCATGAGCATATATGTTGGGACCCGAAAGATGGTGAACTATGCCTGGCCAGGATGAAGCCAGAGGAAACTCTGGTGGAGGTCCGTAGCGATTCTGACGTGCAAATCGATCGTCGGAGCTGGGTATAGGGGCGAAAGACTAATCGAATCATCTAGTAGCTGGTTCCCTCCGAAGTTTCCCTCAGGATAGCTGGAAC